AAAGGGAAAGGCAGGGGAGGTGGGGACAAGGGCTGTGTTCTATTCATCTTTGAATCCTCACTGCCTCACATGGAATCTGGCATAAAAAGGTGCTATGTATATTGAATATTTATGGAGTAATTAATTAGTCACACCCTTCTAAGGGGTGGGAGGTGACCACAGAAGGCTAAAAGGAGGAAATGGACATTATCACTGAACTTGACAGTCGTCTCCCAGAGTGAAAGGGAAACAAATGGCATGAACAAAGGCATCAGGTGACAGAGTGGTCTGGGAGAGCCCTTGACAGGCACAGCCGATTTTAGGAAGATGCCCAATGTAAATCCAAAGCCTGAGGACTTTCTGCCACTCCATTCTATCCTCTCAGGGACCCTTGGATGTCCTAAGAGACTCACAATGAAGGTGTAGTTATCCGAGATCTCCTACCCACTCATGAAACACACTGAAGTATTCTGACTTGGTAAGGACAGCCATAAGTCCTCAGAAATCACACAGCACAGAAGTGGTCACAAGAATGACACACACAATGTAGCACTAAGCTTTCTCCATTTTCTGATGACAGACCAGGTACTAACATGCCTCAAATTCCAACAGATTTGAGGATGAGACCACAGTGATCATTCCCTGTAGTCCTGACTTGGATATATCAGAGCAATTCTTTTGGGATTATAATCTGTAATATTTCAGTAGGGTCCAATAAAAGCTATGGAAAACATGTCTCAGAAGAACAACAGGCCCAGTCACTTCATGTAATGGGATTTGCAGCGTTAATGATGATTCTGTGAAACATTTTACATAACATGACCCACGCTCTCCAGCTAATAGAATCACAATGAACTTCAAACAGTTCACCAAATCCTTACATGTGCCTGGAGGGCAGAGCATAAAGTCAAAATGAAAATACTGTATTTGGGGTTGTATTTTTAATTTATGAAAACTTGCTCAAGGGAGTTCACACATACCACAGACATATTCTCAGCAAGCTGGATTTTCATGCCCGCTTATCACCGTTTCATACCGGGCCTGTCTCTCTAACTTCTGAGCCAGAACCAGGCCACCAGAGACCCTGAGAGGAAAGCCTCCAGATGCATCACGCGCAGGAGACAGAGCTGCGCCTCCCTCCTC